TTATAAATATGCTGAGCTAAATTTTCTAGTTAGGATTATAAAGGTTGTTAATATATAGATTGGATATGTGGGTGTCAGTTAAAATTCTACTACGCAAGTATACGTATCGAATAGACAAGTATATTAGCAAGTAGAGTATCGATCCCACAGGGAAATGATCTAAAAGTTTACTAAGTACTAAAATTATCGCAAATTAATCTTATCCAAACAATATCAAAATAATATCAAATCAAACTAAGTTATAGCAGAATTAAATTAAGAAAAATCAAATAATTAATACTCAAAAATATCAAATCAAACAAGCCTAGTATACAATATCCCTCACACTTCATCTAAATCTTACCCCTCTTCCTTAACTTATCTCAATGGTTTGAATGTAACCTAGAGTCCTAAATTATTTATAAGGGTCTCCCGACTCATCTTTAAAAATATCTATTTTAACCAAAACACTATACCCTATGTGATTGAAATTAAAACAAACTCATTAAGTTCAGGCTCTAATCTGGCTACATATGGCCTATAGGTATATCCCTATCCTATACGCAAATCAATTAATATGATCATATGCTATCCCATTTTAGTCTACACTAAACTCCCTTTCCCAAGTTTGTTTAGGTTTCTAGATCAATTTAATTGGTGGCCAAGCAATTAAAGCATTAAGAACAAATTGGAATAAACAATTCAAATCCCATTGAAAAATAGCAAGAAGTGATTAAATCTAGATTACATGTGAGTTCAATTGCAATCCTAGAAAAATAAATTAGCTCATAATACTAATAAAGACAATATCCAAAGATTAGCCATGAATCTAAGTCAAAGAAAATAAGAAAAACACAAAGGTAAGAGAGAAAACTAATAGTTAGAGATTTATGATCTTGATTCTCTCTCCAATTCTCTTGTTTCCTTGCTTTGTTCTTGGCTCCAATCTCCAGAATAGTTGCTTGCTGCCTCCTCTGCAAAATCTCTGAAAAAGGCTCCTAATAGGCTCAATAACCTAATTTTTGAATCTCGTTAATGTCTTTTATTTTTTTTGGAAAGTCGCGCAGCGCTGCGGCGCTACTTCTCCAGCGCTGCAGCGCTGAGCTCTCTGGAATTTTGTATGTGTGCTTCTTTTCATAAACGCTACAGCCTGTTCTCCCAGCGCTGTGGCAGTCTATCAATTCAAACGTGAGTTTCACCCTGATATGTTAAGAACTGGGCAAAGTAGTAAACATAAAAGTTTTATCCTGTCTCTTAAATTTCCAATGGATCAAAAATCAATCAATTGGACTTCTGTATTGAAAGATTTGCTCCAAATACCGCATCATGTTCAGTCTTTACATACTGCTGCAGTGGTCCGACTTTGACAAATATTTTGACCATGATCCAATCAGAACTGGGCAACTTGGTGAACATAAACATTGTATCCCTTCTTCTTATAATTCTATTGGTCTAAGAATCACCTCATTTGGAGTTTTTTAGAAAGAGATATGGTCAAAATACTGAAATATATACGAATGAAGCTATCACCATACTTGCACTGATTTTCCTCAAATGAGTCTTTTTCATCAATTTCCTACAAAAGTCATAAGAGAAATTAGCAATAACTACTCTTAAAGTAATTTAAAATAAAATAACTTAAAATTTAACTAAATAACTTAAATTAATCACTTAACAAGTAATCAAACTTAAACTAAAAAAAACACCTATAATGCTAAAATTCGAACCTAAAATCTCAAAGATCTAGCTACTTAAGCTCCCAAAATGACTCAAAATAACTCTATATAATAGAGTTATCAGTGGGTTGGTTGTTGCATACTCTTTATAAATTTATCTGTGCTTATTCAATTCTATATTTATTTCCTCTTTTATTGATTGATCACCAACAAGATGAGATTGGGTGTTTAGATAATGTTTGACAAAAGTAATCTAAACTGACCTAGAATTGGATAATGTGTGTTCATTCATTTCAAGAATTGAGTGGGTGATAAATTGATAGGGTAGACATAAACCTATTAATTACGCATAGTCTATTAATAGGACTTAGACTGAAGGTAAGTGGCTTGATTTAATTCTCTATAGCCATATAGGGGGTAAATTGAGTTAGGTAATTATATGATATCTCTATGGAGAATCATATAAATTAGTGAATCCTAGACTAGCATGGATTTCTATACAAAGAAGGTCATTAACTAATCTATTATCCAATTATAGTATTAGCTGAAACCATAGTCCTAGACCTTAATCCATTAATTATTCATTAAATTTTACTTGCAACAATTATTGAACCAACTCTTTTGGGAAACAATACTTTCTTATCACTATATTATTTGTTGACGATGTGCACTTGCATGATATCTTTGCTAAATTGAGAAAATCTTAAATGTAAATATCTTGTTAATTTAGCAAGCAACAAAATAATATCTTACTTTGGTATATTATTTTTATGTTTAGTCCATCAATCAAATTACATAACAAAAGTGCTAAAACAATTCTATATGGACAAAGCACATCCATTAAGTTTATTGATGGTTGTAAAGTCACTAGATGTGAAGAAGAACCCTTTTTGATCTCTTGAGGATGATGAAGAACTTCTTCGTCCTGAGTTACCGTGAGTTACCGTATCTCAATGTAATCGAAGCACTAATGTATCTTACTAACAATAGACAACTTGATATATCATTTTTTGTAAATTTATTAGCAATATATAGTTCTTCTCCAACTAGAAGACACGGAATGGAATATATATCTCTGATGAACAATGAAAATGGGAATATGTTACTCAAATATTTTAAAATTAGATTTAATTGGCTATGCAGATGCAGGATATTTATTTAATCCATATAAAGCTCAATCTCAAATAGGTTACTTATTCATATATGGAGGTACAACTATTTCATAGCGTTCTGCAAAACAAACTTTAGTTGTTAATTCTACTAACCATGTAAAAATTTTAGTAATTCACGAGACAAGTTGTGAATGTGTCTTGTTAAAATTTATAATTCAACATATTTGAGAAACGCATGGCTTGTCAACTAAGAAGAAAATTCCACCAATGTTATATGAGGATAATATCACTTACATAGTTCAGTTAAAAGAATGATACTTTAAACACGATAAGATAGAACATATTTCGTCAAATATTTTCTTCACTCGTGATCTCCAAGAAATAGGTGATACTAATGTTCAGCAAATTTATTCAAGTGACAATCTAGCATATTTATTCACCAAAGCACTTCTTATTGCAACATATGAAAATCGATACAAAAGATTGGAATATGTTGTTTTAAAGATTTCAAATAATACAGTCATCAGAGAGAGTAAAATATGTACTCTTACTCTTTTCTTTTAGTAAGGTTTTTCTCACTGAGTTTTTTTTGGTAAGGTTTTTAATGAGATAATATTTCAAAGTGTATTTTTAAAATGAATTTTGTACTCTTTTTCCTTCACTCGGATTTTTTCCCTTGAAGTTTTTTCCTAGAAAGGTTTTAATACGGTATATTCTTAATACAATAAACATTCAATGTGGAGTGTTTTGGATATATGTGTGAACATCCATTATGTTATGATTCAAGAGTTCGTACCAAGCCAAGCAATCCAAACAAGTCAAACAGCCCGGCCGGCTAGACATAAAAGTCTAATTTGATTCAAACTCTTAGATTTGATTATGTTTATCTAGATTTTGGTGTAGATTAGATTTGATTAAGGTTAGGGTTTAATTTGACTATTATCCACCCAAATTAAATCTTTTAATATTATCTTTATCTTGTAGATTCTATCTATATAAGAGACTATTAGCTTATAAATAAACCACTCCATTTATAAATATACACTCAAAACAATATTTCATAACACTCTCTCTTATAATTGTTTTTTCAAATTATATTTCATAACATTTAGAGAATTTTTACTTCTATCATACAAGGTTGTCTGATTATAAACTCACAATTTTTCAGAACTAAAAAATTATTAAACATATTTTATATGATTAAGAATTTCATTCAAGTACTTTTGTTTTGATATATTATAAGCTCAAATATGATTGAACATTCAATAAGATAGGACTAAAATATAGAGCATGTGCTGAAATTTGACATACCTCGAGTATTTTTTGCATAATTTGAAAAGTATTTTGAGTTTTTTAGTGCCAATAGTTTCATTTGAAAGTAGACTCCGTTTTTTTTTTTTTTAAAGAAAAGATTACTCAATATCGAAATTTTATGAGGAGGGTTGTTCAAATATAGGCCCACGAAACTGGAAAGGGAGTGTCCAGCCACTCCTTATTTTTTGCCAATTTTTGTGGTATTTATTCTCCCAATCTTTACCATTTCGTGACAATTTAAAACTTACACAATTTTCATATTTATAGAAATTGAGGTACTTGCATCTTATAGAAATTGAGATACTTAATTGTGATCATTAAAATGTAAGAGGTCTAACTTTTAATTAGTAGTACGAGTTTAGAATTGTACATAACAAATCAAATAGAATTTAAGAGTGCATAGCAAATGAACCTAAAAAACTTTTGACACCTTATGGTCAAAAGTCCTTCCTAAAGCTTCCAATGTTTGAACAAGCACTCAAGAAAACCCCATCAGCCCTTAAATTCAATAGAAAAAGGAGAAAAACATTCTCCCCACTGCTTAAGAAAATTGAATTTAATTTTCAAAAATGCTTTGGGTATCTCTCTAATGTTGAATATGAATTTTGGAGATTATGAGAGATCTGAGTTCTAATTTTGAGGTGAGTGAGTATTTATGGTTAGCTTCAGCGTTTAGTGAAGTGTTGCTTTGATACTCTTAATATTTTTTCTGGCTTTGAAGTTTGAGATCGTTTTCGAATCCTATTTATATGCGTAAAAGCATATTAATAAAGGTAAATATTCATTCTGGATTTTGCTAAAATTAATTAAAAATATGTTCCAACGTATTTTGGAATCCTAATTGCCAACAAAGTTGTGTGTGCTTTTAGTTCATGTACAGATACAATGAAATGAATCCGGTAATAAAAGGTTCAAAATCTAAACACCACATCCATAAGCTTCTCTATTTCTAATTTATCTCAATTATACATGACCCTCAATACAGTAACTTTTCATGGTAAATAGTCTATCAAACTTAAGTAATACAGTAACTTTTGGCCAAGAAAAGAAGAAAAAAAAAACAACAAAAAAAATGTAACTTTAATTACTTCTCAACAAACCTACTTAAGCACATCGTGTGTCTGTGTGCAATATTTGTTCTTTCAGATGTGCAGATTCCCATGTATAAATGGGATTTGGCAGGAATTCTATTGTTCTGCCAGTGTAACATGACACCTACATCACATGTTTTGCATATGAAAAATTCAAGTGGATAAGTGAATTAGTGAAACATGCCATTCTTGCAGCATTTTTTTTTCTTATAAATTTTTTTTTTAATTGGGAGAAGAGGGATTCGGATCCTCTTCTTTAGGCAGAAGGATAATGCACTAATCAATAAATCAAATACTCAGGTGCCTTACAAAGTTTAATGTTGCTGATTTAGAGAATTTTTTATTAAAAAAATTGCATTGCCATCATAGTTAATTATATCTTTAAATACTATATGGAGATTTGACTCACATCAAAGCGGCTTGTAAACAGAAACCAGCAGTCACAACTTTCATTATCTTGAATAGCGATCAACAAGTGCTTTAGCTTTCTCTGGGGCAAAAAATCGAGCCTGTGAAGCACCAAACATTGATATGGTACTATTAGCCCCTTGCCAATCGGATCAATCTATTAACATATAGAATTTTACAGTAGATATGTTCAATTAAAGAGTAGTTTAAGCAAGTCTAATAGTTGCTCAAATTTTCTATACCTTGTTGGGGATTATTGCATGTATAATACACATGGGTTAAGAGATGTTCTAACACATTGGCTAAGTTCAGGTTGTGGCCTGATATTCAGATTCGTCCTCTAGAACTAAAGTTAATTGGTTCTAGGGTGGATTGGATGCCTTACAGGTTAAAGAAAACCCTAGTTATTGTTGGTCTTTTTGTCACATTGTTCGTTGATTGTTGCCCTGTATCTATGGTCCAATGTGCTAAGCCTATTGGTTTCTGCAAATAAAATGAAGTACCAAGTGATGTCATCCCACATTAGTTAGGTCTAGGTTTAGGTAGGACGCCTAGAGGTAGAGATTTTAGGGGGAAGATAAGGAAATAAACTTATGTGAGGGTCTCATAATCTGTAACTTCAGAACATTCTGATCAAGAAGATTGTCATTTGGTACCATGGAACAATTTACCCAAAGAGCAAGTCAGACATGCTTTTGTATCCACAAATACAAATTAAGTCACCAAATAGGATCATGTACTCACTTGAATAAACATCCTCTCTGCATCTCCAACATTGCCATTTTCTTTCAAAATAATTCCCTGCAGAAATATCAGAAAAACAAAAATATATTATTTCTCATCTTAAGATATTTAGGTGTCAAAAAGATAAAAATTAACCAGCAAGAAATAAGCATGCAACTAAGAATAGATGAAGAACGGTGGAGAAATTAGACCTGTCAATATGGGCCGGCCCGGCTCAACCCGGCCCTAGCTCGTGGGTTGAAAAAATATGGGTAGGGCCGGGCCAGCCCATATTTTATATGGGTTACAAAATGTTCAACCCAGCCCACCCCT